GCTGTGGTCTAATAAACACTCATTACAAATAATAATAATAATAATAATAATAATAATAATAATAATAATAAAAAGAACAAAAAAATGAATGCAAAAATTAAAAAAAGAACAAAAGTGAGAAACAATATATATATATATATATATATATATATATATATATATATATATATATATATATATATATATATATATATATATATATATATATATATACTGTATATTTATGCAAGTGATCTAGGTATATGCTGATAACCACAAGGAAAGAAGAAAACATGAAGTGTGTTCTTCTTTCCTTGTGGTTATCAGCATATATATACTGGCAACAGTAAGAGAAACAATTGAGACCCTGCAATTGTGTGTAAATGAAGCAGAAAGTCAGATCAGCAGCCTGGGACTTGGTCACAATTTTCAGGATGCCATATGGCAGCAGGGTCTACCATTAGACAACACATTATGCATCCAACATCTTCCCAGGCGGTACTAATAATTGAGAACTAATGTCATTAATACCGTAAGATATATGTTTGTGTTTTACAGATCTACGCATTCGTATATCCGCACAGCAAGAAAGTATCTTTACAGCTGGGTATGGTGGATTTCAGAATGAACACCTGGCTTTTGTCGTGTAAGAGGGGTTGGTATACCTGATTACGAAGTACATTTCATAATAATATCATAATAATATTCATATCCCCTCTTTGTGTTACCTTTGGAATGAAATAAAAAAGTTGCAATATAACCTTTTGAAACTAAGATGCAACAGTTTGCTTTGTGTTACGCACATTTAGAAAAATCCAACTCAGGACAAATGTTGCCAAATAGGAATATAGCTTATGAAAAGCAGCATGAATGCACCGATATAGTTGACATATGTTACAATCGTACTTGTATAACTGCAATTGAGACTCACACGCTCTTGTTCTCTTTATAAAATAAAATCAAATTTAATATTCAAATTGGCAAGTGTCAAGGTTTACAGCATAGAGTTCATACAATACTAAACTTAATGCCCTTGTTAATTGTCTTTATACTTGTTGTTACAAACATACGAATCATGTTTTCACATGATGAGCTCAACTTCAGAAGGGGCCACCTCCACTCTAAAGAGTCTGTAGACCTTGCTCGTGTTTGTATTTTTTTTCGCAAATATTTCCATATACTGTATGGAACACCATCCGAATCGGTAATGTAAATACCATTCATGATTTGTGCACTGTATTCGCTATGGAGAGTTCTGAAGCATTGTGAGGAACCATTAACACTACTCTGGGTGAGGGCCTATGCTTATTTTGGTTATGATGTTATATGCATTCAATGCACCAAATATAAGTATTAAATACACTGTCTGGCATCTTTATATTGTAATGCATGGCGTATGTACAGTAGTGAGTTGCGTTGTGCATAGCGAAATATTTTTAGGCATGTTACCCTCAACTACTGTAAATAGAATATTTTTATATAAATATGTGTGAGCAGGGATGGTACTTAATACATAAAAATTTTCTGTATGTATGTAGGTATTTTTGCAAGTTAATGCGGGAGTTCTTTAATATTAGTATTAGGTTTGTAGTCCCCTGGAATATGGAGCTTTGTCAGTCACAAGCAGGCCTTGGGAGTAGGAAGACATCTCAGTTTGTCAGTGGTGGATACCTTTTCAAATAGGGTTTAGTTGAGTATTATCTATTCAGTGCCGCTCTATTATTATTTATTTTGTGTAACAAGGCTAATAAAGTACTTGGGTTCATACAAAGGAGTGTTACTTACAAGACTAGCGAGGTCATCTTATGATTATATCTTGCGCTTGTGAGACCTCACCTGGATTACGCAGTTCAGTTCTGGTCACCGCATTACAGAATGGATATAGAATCCTTGGAAAGAATCCAGAAGAGAATGACAAGACTAATCCCGGGCATTAGGAACCTTGAGTATAGAGACAGGTTAAGGCATCTTAATTTGCACTCCCTCGAGAGACGTAGAGCGAGGGGCGACATGATCGAGGTGTATAAATGGAAGTCAGGGCTAGACAAAGGGGACATTGCAAAGGTACTCAAACTATCCAACCAGGAGCGAACTCGTAACAATGGTTTTAAATTAGACAAATTTAGATTAAGGCGCGAAATAGGTAAACATTGGTTTGGAAACAGAGTAGTGGATGAATGGAACAATTTATGGGGAGAAAATACATGAATCAGTTGGAATGGCGGCAACAAAGGCTTTCCAGCGGCATCTCTGGTATTTAAGTGAGGAGTCAGTAGCTCTGGCTCTCTTCAGTGATAGTGATTCGTATGCTGAGAAAAGAGAAATTCTTGAGTCAATCAAGGGAAAGAACGAGAAAAAGGAAAGTCCAAAGAAGCTGAAAGTGACAGAAGAGGAAATTCCATCACTGGAGCTTAAAACCATGCATCCACAAATACTAACTGCTTCTTTTAAACCACGCTCCTGGATTCTGGATTCGTCTCCAAAGATCCAAGCCAATGGAATGACGATCCACAGTTCTTTCAGTCAAGGGAAATTCTACAAGAGTTGCAGGTGGTGAATGATGTGGCCGAAAGAGCGGTGAAGCTTATCCAGGACTACAACTCTTCAATTACGAAAAGCGAAGATCAAAAGCAGTACCAGCTTCAGGTGGTCACCACACATCGACGTCAGTATCCCAACATAAAGAAGGCTAATCTTCTGTGATGTATGTTTCTCTTACATGTGTTCTTTATGTTAATCTCATATTTTGGATAAAATAAACACCAACAAATAAATGTAATAAATAAATCACTTGTATCTGATGTCAGGAACAAGAATTATTTTATAGAGGGAGAAAACATTAGAGAGGTAGAATTTTCGGGCCACTTGTGCATATCCTAAATGAATCTGTAATTACCTATAATTTCGCCTGAAATGTTTTTACATGTAAAGGACGCAAATAAACATTGAGCACTAAAAATATAAAGAACTTTACTTTTTTTGAACCACCCTAATATATATACAGTACATATATATATATATATATATATATATATATATATATATATATATATATATATATATATATATATATATATATATATATATATATATATATATATATATATAATCAACGACCTCACCAGCCAGGAATCGAACCCTGGCTGGTGAGGTCGTTGATTATATGTTCAAAGTCCGCGTGTTATATGGACTAAAAAAGAAGTATATATATATATATATATATATATATATATATATATATATATATATATATATATATATATATATATATATATATATTGATTCAGATTTTGCCGCTTACAGCGGTTAGTTTATTGTGCACCCCATACTCATCATGTGAGCGGTCGCGAAAAGGGATAACAGAGTATGGTTTACAAAGGGTCATAATAATTCACCCCTGTGGTCAGGATATTATGGCAATGAATGTTACACAGTATTATGTGTGTGTGTGTGTGTGATCCTTGTTTCTGAGGATTGGTGACCATGGTTCTCCACTCTAAAGGTTTTAGGGCTATTTTTGCCAGTCCTCCCGGATTTTGTACCTCCCCTAGGACACAACATTTAATTTAATTTTTCCATCCCAGTCTCTGCCTTCTCCTGGCCCTCTTACCCTCAGTTTTGACCATTAGTGTGCCTCTCATTATCCTCTCAGCCTTAAGCATACGGTCAAAATGTCTCCTTTACTTAATTTATAAAAATTCCAGTATTTCTTTCGTGGTGTTTACCAGTCTTAGTATTTCCTCATTTATTTCGTTCTATCTACAATTTAACTTTAGCTTTTTCCTGTGGCACCACATTCAAAAGGCATACCTTACCTCCTTTTCGTGTCTTCTGAATATGTCCACGATTCTGACCCATGCAATAGTAATGACCATACTCAGCATTTCCGTAATTTGTTTTTATCAAATTGAAATAAGTGTCCCATTTTAGCAGGTCTCAGAATAATAAATGCTGTTTTTGCATGATATTTTATCTTATTAATTTCTGTAACTACTCTACCATCTCGACCAAATTTACTTTGTATGAAATATAACATAGTCTCGGACTGCATTTAGTGTCCTTGTGGCATGGTCGGTAACGTTCCCTGGTCATACGCAGTAGATCGAGGGTTCGAGTCCTGGCTGGTGAGGTCGTTGATTATTATATGTTCAAGTCCGCATGTTATATGGACTAAAAATGAAATATATATATATATATATATATATATATATATATATAAAAAACTCACTTTCCATTATATTTCTCATAACTTTAACATTATGTTTTAATAAAACATTACAGGCAGGACTTGTGGATGAATATATCTCTCATAAACTGGTTACAGTCTAAGCCTCCCTGCTTGCTAGGCAGTGACAAAAATACTGTTTTTTCTTCTAATCACTAGGAAGGTCTTCTTTGAAGGAAATAGAGCTTTAGTACATGTATAAGTTAAACAGTTGATCCCATTCTCTCCTATTGTATTTGTTTTAGAAATTCTTCTGAAAGTTGATTAACCTCACAAACTTTAACATTGTTTTTTTTTTTAATTTTCCTTCCAATTGCCTTAACTTTTGTTTCCAAAACTGGTAGTTTGATCTTTATTTATTTTTAGTTTCTTACCTTCCCTTGATCCTTATCATTGTATAGTTCTACTTACACTGCCCCTCTCTTAATTCTTCTTTGTGAAGTTCTTTGCAAGCCTCACTACCGCTTGTTAAGTTTCTTGATGCATCATTTATTTATTTATTTTATTTTTTTTGTGATCCACTCATGTTTAGACTGATTTCTCTTCACCTTCTCAATGGGTCCTGCTTCTACACATCTATTCTACAGGTGCTACAAACATCTGTCCTAATACAAAGCAGATACACCTGTATCGCCAAACGGTTACAGTGGTGTAAGTTAACTACACGGACTTGCGCACCCACCACACCATAGTGTTGTATGGTTACTCATCTATTACATCCTTACACCAGTGACATCTGTAATCAACATTGTGTGTGAAGTAATCATCATATTCATTAGATTATTTACATACTCACCGTTGACATCCTTGGCCTCCACGTTGGCACCAGCAGCGAGCAGCGCCCTCAACACATGTTTACGGCGTCTATGTGTCGCCAAATGAATAGGTTTTAAGGTCGTCTCAGAGCCATCCACGGGGGCCCCCGCCTCTACAAGTAGTGGTACCAGGTGGGCGGCGCCATTAATGGTCGCTATGCTCAACAAACAAAGTGACACATTACCGTTTTCTACCCATTCAGTGGTGCAGGGGTCAGCACCAAGAGCCAAGGCGACTGACACCATCACCTCGTCTTCACAAATGACTGCCTTCTTCAGAACCTGCAAGAACACGACATAAAAGTACAATTATATGAGAATGAGAGAGAGATAAAGGTGAGAGGAGAGTGGGAGAAACAGCGAGGAGAGCTCGAGAGAGTGGGGACACTCTACTTCCACCACCAATATCTTTTTCCACCACAAATTAAAAATAATAATATTAAATCAATATCAGCTCCATGCAGCTACCATTCATCATTCTACACCAGGGGTTCTTAAGCTAGGGTCCATGGACCCCCAAGGGGTCCATGGATGGGCTTCAGGGGGTCCGTAAAGGTCAGCTAAAAATTTTATATTTATATTCACTATATCTTTATATTAAGTTGTTCTATTTTTGTCAATATATACCAGATGTTATGTATGTATTTTTGATTACTGAAGAAAACCAGTAAATCTGTAGGGTGGCATGGGATGCTACTGTACACGGTCAGGTAACATACAATCGTCATCGTCGTCAGGTTTTGACTTCTAGAATGTTTATTTTATTCATACTTTGTGTATGTCATACACTGTATGAGGCAATGAATTTTCAATAAAATGAAGTATATTCATTGCATGCAAACTTGTGTTTATGTACTTATGTGCATTTTTCTAGGGAGGGGGTCCATAGCTTTCACCAGATTCTCAAAGGGGTCTGTGGCTCAAAAAAGGTTAAGAACCACTGTTCTACACAATAAAGAACAACCACCATCTCCAGCACAAGCGCCAACCACCGTCTCTACTACAACCACGTTTCTAGTCGATAAACAAGGTCATTCCGGGAGCACCCAGTCTGACTCCTAGAAAATCTGATTCTTGAGTGACTAGTGCGTGATGCGACCAGTACAGTACAATATCTAGCTGTGATCCCCAAAGTAGATATATTTGTCAATTTACTGGTGAATCTGTGACTACCACGTGAGGTGTAGGCCCACCAAACTCCCCTCATTGCCATGGCTTGTAATCTGAGCCCTGCTTACTGGTGAATCTGTGACTACCACGTGAGGTGTAGGCCCACCAAACTCCCCTCATTGCCATGGCTTGTAATCTGAGCCCTGCTCACCCCCACCGTCCCACCAGGCCACCCAGCTGACCACAACTCGACCGTCTCCCTACTGCCAGCTACTCAACTCTCACAAGCTCCCATATGTCAAAGTTGGCTGCTTGTGTCAAAAATTCAAATTTCACGAAACAACAACTGACTGATATGATAATGGGAGTCCAACGGACTCTCATACAGGACATCATACAACAAATGAATAAGGAGACCATCAGGAAGCTACAAGAAGTTGACCGGCGTCTCACTGACCAGCTATATGAGATTAAAAGAAGCTTGGAATTCTCGCAAGGGGAAATAAATGACTTACAAGCAATGTTGAACGTTGAAGCTAAAGAGAACCGAACACTCAAGACCTAAGTTCAACAGCTGAGTGAAGAAAATTCCAAGCTCAAAACGGAATTAACGACAACAGCAGACCGGGTGGATTATGTGGATGACATACGGCGGCGAAACAACCTCAGGATTGCCGGTATCACTGAAGACATCCACGAGAACTGGGAGTCATCCCAACGCAAAATTTAACGCCTGCTGAATGACCATTTTAAACTTAATGAAGTAAAGTTTGACCGTGTTCAACCCAACCCAACTCCTCCCGTCCCCGCAACATCATTACAAAATTCTCATCCCCCTCTGACCGTGACAAAGTGTTTTATCAACGCAGTAAACTGAGAGGCACCACTATCTTCGTCAACGAAGATCTCTGCCCAGGTATAACTAAAGCCCGTCTACAGCAAATGGACAAGTTTAAAGAAGCCACGAAACAAGGGAAACACGTGACGGTCAGTCAATTCAATTCAATTCAATTCCTTGTTGTGAGGGATTGGGCAAGTAGACACCCGCCCACTCACCCGCTATACCACCCCCCCCTCCCCAAGGCCCTCCAGTACCCCCTCTCCACTGAGGGGGAACCAGCCACTGTTGCTATCACCTGAGGAGTTTCCCCCTCTGCCGGCCAACTCGAGGACTACACGTCTACCCTCTGTGGTGGAAACCAGCAACCCTCAAACCAGAGTGACAGGAGCACCTCTCACTCTATGTGGGAATCACCCTCAACAGTACCGGTCATCCTAATTCTGTTGGTTATAGCACTTGTGAGTACGTCCCCCCCCCCCCCTCACCACTATTATAATCTTCATAGATCTTCCTTTTTCACACCTCAGTGACCTTGAGTTTTTACTGTTCCTTAATCAGTATCAATGTTCCCACAATGATGATGCTAGTGTCATTCCCTTAGATGTGCTAGATCATATGTGTTACACCCCATTACCCGTGGTGTCGACACAATACTCCCTCATATCGATCCTGACCTCACTAGGGGAAAGGTCATGGCAGGGTTAGCTCCCGAGGGATAATTATCAGATATGGCCAGTGCTATGTTCGGTCTTGGATATGTGAGTTTGTTGACCAAACTGGAGTGGTCCATGGAAGAATTGGCGAGGGCCAAGGAAGAAATTGAGAGGGCCACGTTGGAGAACCTGAAATTAAAGGAAGAGCTGTCGAAGTTAAAAGGGGAGGCTGGACGGGTAAAGCCAGTGTCTGACGAAAACTCAAGCGAGTGGAAGGTTGTGAGTAGTGGGAAGACGAAGCTGGTGGTGAAGAAGTAGACCAAGGATATGACAACAACGACAACAACAGCTAAGTGTACCAACTCGTTCAGTCCCTTGATAGACGAATTGGACGTTAGTACAGTCAGGGACAGGGATGACAAGGAAGGTAGAAAAACTTTAATTGTTGGTGACTCACAGGTAAGGTACATGGACAGGGCCTTTTGTGGTAAAAACAAAAATAGGATGAGGGTGTGTTTGCCAGGAGCTGGGGTGGGGGATATAATTGACAGGATGGACAATATCTTATCTGGTAATGGGAACAAACCCATTATCTGCCTCAGTGCAGGAGGCAATGATATTGGCCGGTGTAGGAGCGAGGAGCTTCTTGATAAGTTCAAGGCAGCTATAGATCGTATTAGGACTAAGGGAGGGATCCCTATCATATGCGGTGTCCTGCCTAGAAGGAGAGTTGGCAGTGAATGGTTGTCAAGGGCAGTTGGTGTCAACGACCGTCTTGACAGATATTGCAAGTCAATATCAGTCCCATTCATTGACAACTGGGACAACTTCGATGGCAGAAGGGACCTTTATGCTAGGGATGGGGTGCACCTGTCTAGGGATGGAGTAGCAACCCTGGCTGGGGCTCTAGAGGGGGCAGTTCAAAAGATATCGAAGTCTTTAAACTGCTAGGAGAACATATGAGCACGGGGGTGGAGGAGACTGCAGTGGGAGCGGGTAAACAAAGTGAAAGATTACAGGGAAATAGTGTTAGGAATGATGACAAAACAAAATTAGACAGGGAGTTTAAAACTAAACGAGGTAAGGGGAGGACTCAGAACACGACTAATTTAAATGTATAGTACGCAAACAGTAGAAGTATGAGAAACAAAATGGATGATATTAGGGCCTTGGTATGTACCGAAAAAATCGATATAATTGCATTCACTGAAACATGGATCAACCTAGACACACGTGAGTTACCAGTCGAATACCAAATTGCGGGTTACAAACTGTTCCATACCGATAGGCAGACCAGGAAAGGAGGCTGAGTAGCAATCTATGTTAGGGATAATCTGAAGTGTGAAATAAATAAGGAAATAAAAACTGAGCGGAATACAGAAACAATTTGAATAGAATTAAGCGACGGTAGAGAAAAATTAATCACAGGAGTAATATATAGACCTCCCAATCTTGATAGAGTCAATGAGCGACTTCTCTGGGATGAAATGCACAGGGCTTCCATACACAACAAAGTCTGTATAGTAGGCGACTTTAACCTTGGCCAAATAGATTGGACTGACCTTACAGGTAACTCAGAATCAGAGGATTTTCTCGAGACGATCCAGGACTGTTTTCTAAGTCAACATATAACCGAACCCACACAGGGTAATAATATACTCGATTTAGTTCTGTCAAACAGAGAAAACGTCATTAGCAGTGTCGAGGTAGGGAACGAACTTGCAAACAGCGATCACAAAGAAATTAGATTCCAGTTAGATTTTCAGGGCAGACTTAAGGAAAATTACACTAAAGTACCAGATTTCAGAAGGGCAAACTTTGACAGTTTAAAGAGGCAGCTGAGAGAGGGGGTGTCGCGCTTGGCCATGAACCTGACAGATGACACCGACCTGATAACGAGATCTGAGATTGCCGAGTTCCACGACAATTTAAATAGTGAGTTACTTAATGCACAAAGGCAGAACATACCATACAAAAAACTCAGATCAGACAACAATGACCTTAAATGGATAAATAATTATTTAAAGAACATCATTGGCCAAAGGAAGGCTATAGGTAGAAGGATAAATCGTGGCGAAATTCACCTCCGGGACTATTATAGGGCATTGGCGAGTAGGGTTAAAACCGAGATAAGGAAAGCAAAGAGGAATAATGAGGTAAGGATAGCAAGGGAGGCGAAGACAAACCCCAAAGGATTCTACCAAATGTATCAAACTAAAACACGAGAACAGATTGGACCAATACGGTCAGACACCGGCGAGCTCACTGATAACGACAGAGAAATGAGCAATAATTTGAATAAATATTTTTCAACAGTTTCCACCACCGAAAATTTAAACATGATACCCGAGGCACCGACTCTATTCAGAGATAGTGAAGAAAACAAATTAAGTGAGATAGTAGTGACTAGTAACGATGTTAGTAAGCAAATAGACAAACTAAAGCCTAATAAGTCACCTGGTCCCGATTAGATATTTGCCAGAGTATTAAAGGAATGTAAGGAAGAGCTTAGTATGCCCTTAGCAAAGTTGTTTAACATGTCCTTAAAAACAGGTGTAGTACCAGAATCCTGGAGGATAGCGAATGTAATACCGATTTTCAAGAAGGGGGATAGATCACTATCCTCTAACTACCGCCCAATCAGTCTAACATCAATAGTAGGCAAATTACTGGAAGCA